TCCTTTGTTGTTTGCGGCCTTTGCAGTGGAGCAGTATAGGCTGGTGACTTCTTCCAGTTGCTGCCCGATGTCTGATTTGTTGGTTCTCCAGGGTTCTCATGTTAGTTCTTCCCGGAGGGGTCATGCCAGGGCTCGCGGTTCTCCACGTTGGGGTGGGCCACAGTTGCCTGTTTCGGAGCTGGTGCCGCCTTTGGTCCCGGCTGCACCTGGTAGGCGTGGAGCTCGCTCTGCAGGCAGGTCAAGTTCTCGTAAGGGGCATCAGCCCTTTCGCGGTTCACCCTATTGATGGGGCGATGGGGGGGGGGGAGGCTTGCTCTGTTTGCTTATGCCTGGTCTCATGATTCGTGGGATTTTGAGGTTGTTTCTTGCGGCCTGTGGTAGCGTTGGGTGGCCCCTCCTTCTTCGGTGGGTTCGGGGCTGGCAGGGCAGGCCTCTTCTTTTGCCCTCTGTTAGGTTGTCTTGGAGTGGGTGCACTTGGTCATGGTCGAAACGACCACGTCTCTCAGGTGGGTTTCCCGACTGTTTCCAGTTCAGAAACGGGACTGTGCGAACCTGTGGTTCATTCTGGATTTGTCCCTTCTCAACCCCTGGGTATCTTGCCCCTCATTTCAGATGATTACTCTGTCCCAGGTCCGGCTTCTGTTGGAGCCAGGCGCTTGGATGGTGTTCCTGGACCTCATGGACGTGTATTCGCACGTCCCAATTTATCTGGGGTTCTGGGACTGGCTCAGTTTTGTTGTGGGGTGCAAGAGTTACTGCTTTCATTGTCTATCGTTCGGGTTGACCTGGCACCTCGCGTGTTTACACGCTTTACCCGGGTCATGGTGGCCTGTCTGCATCTGTTAGGTGTTCGGGTTTTGGCCTACCTTGATGACTGGCTGGTTTGGGCTGCATGTCAGTTCACGTGTCAGCTCGCCAGGGATTTATTTCTATCCGAGCTTCCCGGGTTCTGGTTCTGGGTGAACTGGAGGAAGTCCCATCTGGTTCCCTCTAAGGTTCGGTCTTGGCTGGGTCTTGTGTGGGACGTTGTGACCACTTCCTTGTCTCTTCCTCCGGTGGATCTGCTTTGTCTGCATTCCAGCCTTCGTCTGTTCCTGAGGGGCTCTAGAATCACACGGCGGTTGCTCGAGGGTTTGTGAGGTGTAGCCTGAACTTTGCCGTGATGGTCTACCCACTGGGTCGAGTTTGGCTTCGTCGGCTGTTCTGGTTTCTTCAGGGGCGTCTCTTGCACCTCTCTTGCGACCGCTGAGTTCAGCCTCCTGAGGCTTTGCGTCAGTTGCTGTGTTGTCAGCTTCCTCTAAGGGTTTTTCGGGGTACAGTGCCTTGGCTTTTCCCGAGCCCTCACTCGATGTGTTCACAGACTCGTCGTCTCCTGGCAGGGGTTTTGTGACCTGTGCTGACCAAGCTGGCCAAGGACGATGGGGTCCGTCCTTCCATCGGGCTCAAAGCACAGTGCGGGAGTTCGCGGCTGTGTGGATGTCACTCTGGAGGATTCGGGTCGCTGGCGGGTCAACGATCCGGCTCCATTTGGACTGTTTCCCAGTGGTTCATTGCCTGAACCACAGGAGTTCGATGCGGTCCTTGGCTCTTTGGGGCTGGTCACTTCGGGTGACTCGTCTGCTGAGTTCTCAGGGTTTGGCTCTCCTGGCAGTTCACGTTTGGGGGGTCCAATGTCCTGACAGACGGCCTGTCCCACTTCCCCTCGCAACGGAGTGGACAGTCGACACAGAGTCGTTCAGTTAGCTCTGCCGGACATTCGAGCCTCCGGTGGTGGACCTCTTCGCGTCGGCGTGGCGCCCTTCCTCGACTGTGAGCCGTCGGCGTTCATGCTTTTCGGCAGGACTGGGCGAGGTGGGGGTTACCTGTACCTCTTCCCCCTGGTTCAGATGTTGCTCCAGGTCCTAGCTCGCTGGAAGTCTTACCTGGGTTGAGTTGTCCTGGCTCCTTGGTGGCCTGCCCAGCCTTGGTTTCAGGTGCTGCTTGCTCAGTATTTGAACCCGAGGGTCTTTTGCAGCTCTGCCTCTTACAGCAGATTGGTCCAGCCCGATATAAAGTTAGTTCGTTCTTCTCGAGTCTTTGCGTCTGGATTTTCTGACTCGAGTCTATCACAACTTGTATGGTGTGCAGGTGGCTTTGTTGTTGGTCTCCCACCTGCGTGCTTTGACTAGGCACCAGTATGAAGTTTCCTGGCGATCCTTCCGGTTTTTCCTCTCACTGCGTAGGTGTACTTCAATCTCTAATAGGGTTGTTTTTGTCCATCCTTTCGTGGTTGTTTCAAGATCATCATCTTGTGCCAAATACTGTCGCCTCATATTGTGCTCTGACGGAGTCGCTCCAACTTGCGTTCGGTGTTGATGTTACGTCTGCTCCGTTTCGCAAGCTGTCTCATACGTTGTTTCACCACCGGCCTGCTCATGCGCCACCTGAGCTGTCCTGGTCTTCGGACTGGGTGCTCTCTTTTCTCTCTTCTCCTCAGTTTGTTGTGGCCCCTTCAGTTCAGGACTGTTTTTCTAAGGCTCTTATCCAGTAGGCATTGGCCTCTGGGAGGTCGGGTTGGGGAGCTTCATGCTCTCCTCCAGCGCAGGGGTTTCTGCTCCTTTGGTCCTGGTAGTAGGTTTGTTCTGTTGCAGCCGTCTTTTTCTGGTGAAGAATGAGTCTGCTGCTTTCCGAAGGGGTCCTTGGGTTGTTGATGCTTGGATGGTCAGGCCAGGGCTGCATCATGTGTTGTGTCTGGGTGCGGCTCTCCATCGTTATTTGCACGCCAAGGCTGTGGTGGCTGGGGATGTGCTTAGGGTGGACCCAGTTTCCCTTCTTTCCTGTTCCCAGGCTCTGGTCTCCCAGGTCGTCTGCAGGGTTAAGTCTAGCCAGCCTGCGTTCTATCCTCCTGCCCATGACGTTCGTAAGTTTGCTGCACTGGCTGCCGTTTTTGGTAACATGTCTTGGGTTTATATTCGGACACTGGGTTGTTGGTGGTCGGACACAAGTCGAGCCTGGCCTCGGGCCGGGCTTGGGGAGTAGAAGAGCTCCCAGAGCCCCATCAACCAGGTATCAACCAGGGTTCTGGCCCCTCGCTACCTGGTCAAAGTCCTTGGACCTAGTAGGGCCTGTACTGCATTGGTCGGCAGATGCAGCCAGTTGTCTCAGCTTCGCGTTGAGTGAGGACTGACCGCCGCCTGGGTAAGTCCCTGTTTTTCCTTGTCTTTGGGTAGTTAGCTCCTGGGAGCCGACAGGGTGCCCCCCAGAAAACCAGCGTTGAATGTAATGAATCGCTGTATTACATTGCGAATGTAATGAATACTGGAGTGAACGATATGGAAGAAAATACAGAATAGAACCAGTGAAGGACAGAGGTGCCATAGGCACAATCAGAGAAAACTGAATAAACATCAGAGGTCCGGGGTTGTTCAACGTCCTACCAGCGAGCATCAGAAATATTGCCAGAACACCCGTGGACATCTTCAAGAGAAAACTAGATTGTTTTCTTCTAGGAGTGCCGGACCAACCGGGCTGTGTTGGGTATGTGGGCCTGTGGGCAGCTCCAAGCAACAGCCTGGTGGACCAAACTCTCACAAGCTGCTACTTGTGAGCAGCAGCTTCTACTCCCTAAGCCTGGCCGGGCTTGGGGAGTAGAAGAACTCCCAGAACCCCATCAAGCAGGTATCACTATTTTCTGGGAGAGTCCCAAAGGCTCCCCGGCATCCCTCCCTCCAGTCGGCGGTGTTTTTTGTGAGTTTTGACATCCAAGTGAGTTTAGAGCCCCAGGCGTGAGGGTCTGGGGCTCTCCCTTCCCCCTCCCGGGGAGGGGGGAGGGTTGCATAGACAGTGGCGCTGCAACGTAATGACGTCATGCTCGTTTGCTAATTTTCGTTTGGGGAGTTCTGTCCACTCGTTCAGCTTTTGGTAGCAATATTTTCACCAGAATAAGGGTTTGTTTTAGGGTGCCTACCTTTCTGGGTGCCAGACCCGGTCGATGGCAGATATAGAATGCTCCCAACAACACGGGGGTTTCTATAGGCCATTGCTCCTCGCGCCTCTTCGAGGGGGGCCAGGTTCTGGCTCGTGGTCCCTGGTAGGAAAGAACTCCATGCACATTGACTGATGCGAGAAAGCTAATATATCCATATCTGCGGGGAGCCTCCGGGACTCACCCAGAAAATGACGTTTCATTACGTTCAGCGCTGGTTTTTTGCTCTAATACCTGAAACATTGTTATTAATAAAGTCAACTGTCATCTTGGTGTTTCTCTACACTGTGGTCAGTGTTCACTACACCCATGTCAACTGTCATCATAGTGACAGACTACAGGTGTAGTTTCAGGTTTCCTAATGCTTCATTATAGTCCAGTTACTTTACTCAGAGCCTGATACTTCATTATAGTCCAGTTACTTTACTCAGAGCCTGATGCTTCATTATAGTCCTGTCACTTTACTCAGAGCCTAATGCTTCATTATAGTCCAGTTACTTTACTCAGAGCCTGATGCTTCATTATAGTCCAGTTACATTACTCAAAGCCTGATACTTCATTATAGTCCAGTTACTTTACTCAGTCCCTGATACTTCATTATAGTCCAGTTACTTTACTCAGAGCCTGATGCTTCATTATAGTCCAGGTTCCACATTAATGTTTGTGTTGGTAATGACAGGTGCAGGAGATCATCAGGGAGGCCCTGGAGATAATGACCACAGAGACAGGTGCCACAGCTGACCCCATTCACCTGGGAGACTCAGCCTCCACCATTAATGTTTGTGTTGGTAATGACAGGTGCAGGAGACCATCAGGGAGGCCCTGGAGATGATGACCACAGAGACAGGTGCCACAGCTGACCCCGTACACCTGGGAGACTCAGCCTCCACCATTAATGTTTGTGTTGGTAATGACAGGTGCAGGAGACCATCAGGGAGGCCCTGGAGATGATGACCACAGAGACAGGTGTCACAGCTGACCCCGTACACCTGGGAGACTCAGCCTCCACCATTAATGTTTGTGTTGGTAATGACAGGTGCAGGAGACCATCAGGGAGGCCCTGGAGATGATGACCACAGAGACAGGTGCCACAGCTGACCCCGTACACCTGGGAGACTCAGCCTCCAGCATCATGAATAAAGTTCAGGAAATCACTGGACAGATCCCCCAGAAGCAATTAACAGTAAGTTTTTTCTTATATCACAAGATATTGAGTTGCATTTTGAGGAGAGGAAGCTGTTCTTAGGTTTATCGAGGTTCCCCAAGGTCAACTACTGACTTAATATACAATACACAATAGTTGCCTTACTCCTGGAAAAACATTTACTGCTAGGTGAACAGTGGAATCTGGTGAAAGGAAACATGGGAATCATTTCTGTCCTGCGCGATGACTGAACTTGCGATTCTCTATTGAACCCAGGATCCTGGCCCCTCACAGAGGCACAGAGAGCAGGTGACACTCCACCAACCTACCAAGAAAGCATCCAGGAAGACAGTGAACCAAAAAAGACAACTGATGGGTTTAAAGAGACTAAAGCCTTGAAACTGCCAACAAACTTCCAAACAATGCCAGCACCAACCCCCCTACCATTAGAGGGGGCTGGAGCTACAGGTCCAGCACCAACCCCCTACCATTAGAGGGGGCTGGAGCTACAGGTCCAGTACCAACCCCCTACCAGTAGAGGGGGCTGGAGCTACAGGTCCAGCACCAACCCCCTACCAGTAGAGGGGGGCTGGAGCTACAGGTCCAGCACCAACTCCCTGCCAGTAGAGGGGGGGGGGGGGCTGGAGCTACAGGTCCAGCACCAACCCCTAGCCAGTAGAGGGGAGCTGGAGCTACAGGTCCAGCACCAACCCCCTACCAGTAGAGGGGCGAGGGCTGGAGCTACAGGTCCAGCACCAACCCCCTGCCAGTAGAGGGGGGTTGGAACTACAGGTTCATCACCAACCCCCTGCCAGTAGAGAGGGGCTGGAGCTACTGGTTCAGCACCAACCCCCTACCAGTAGAGGGGCGAGGGCTGGAGCTACAGGTTCAGCACCAACCCCATGCCAGTAGAGGGAGGGCTGAAGCTACAGGTCCAACATCAACCCCACTGCCAGTAGAGGGGGGCTGGAGCTACAGGTCCAGCACCATCCTCCTGCCAGTAGAGGGGCACTGGAGCTACAAGTCCAGCACCAACCCCCTGCCAGTAGAGGGGGGGGGGGGCTGGAGCTACAGGTACAGCACCAACCCCTAGCAAGTAGAGGGGGGCTGGAGCTACAGGTACAGTACCAACCCCTTGCCAGTAGAAGGGGCCTGGAGCTACAGGTACAGCACCAAACCCCTGCCAGTAGAGTTGGGCTGGAGCTACAGGTCCAGCACCAACCCCCTGCCAGTAAAAGGGGGCTGGAGATACAGGTCCAGCACCAACCCCCTGCCAGTAAAAGGGGGCTGGAGATACAGGTCCAGCACCAACCCCCTACCAGTAGAGGGGGGCTGGAGCTTCAGGTTCAGCACAAATCCCCCTGCCAGTTAAGGGTAGCTGGAGCTACAGGTCCAGCACCATTTCCCTGCCAGTAGAGTGGGGCTAGAGCTACATATCAAGCACCAACCCTCCTGCCAGTAGAGGGGGGGCTGGAGCTACAAGTCCAGCACCAAGCCTTGTAAAAGCACCTTAATCACCTTCAGTGATTAAGTGCTGAATTGCACACTAGTTTCTCTGTCAGCTATCTAACCCTGTCAGAGTAAAAGAGACAAATGTATGTGAATGCATGTGTGTATATATGCATGTATATGTACGTATATATGTGTGTATGTATATGTATGTGTATAAAGTACATATGGAAGCTGATCAGAATTGCATTTCACCTTTGTAAATGCACATTAATGACACTTCGAACACTTTATGTAAGGCATACGTAAATCTGTGTATATATCTATTAACATATGTAGGTTAGCTTAGCATATTAAAAGTACCGAATCATCATCTGTGGTTGATTGTTCAATAAATCCCTGAACTATATGTTTAACTGATCTCTAACCCTGTCCATGGAGGACAGAAGAAAATGTATATATGCTGGTTAGCATTGTAAATGTGTGGCCACGTCTGTGGTAGAAAATAATAATAATAAAAATAAAGGGAGCCAGTCGGCCGGGCGGACAGCACGCTGGACTTGTGGTCCTGGGTTCGATCCCAGGCGCCGGCGAGAAACAATGGGCAGAGTTTCTTTCACCCTATGCCCCTGTTACCTAGCAGTAAAATAGGTACCTGGGTGTTAGTCAGCTGTCACGGGCTGCTTCCTGAAGGTGGAGGCCTGGTCGAGGACTGAGTCGCGGGGACACTAAAGCCCCGAAATCCTCTCAAGATAACCTCAAGAAAGTAGAGGGGGGCTGGAGTTACAGGTCCAGCACCAACCCCCTGCTAGTAGAGGGGGGACTGGAGCTACAGGTCCTGCACCAACTCCCTGCCAGTAGAGGGGGGCTCGAGCTACAGGTCCAGCACCAACCCCCTGCCAGTATAGGGGGGGATGGAGCTACAAGTGCAGCACCAACCCCTTGCCAGTAGAAGGGGCCTTGAGCTATAGGTCTACCACCAACCCCTGCCAGTAGAGGGGTGCTGGAGCTACAGGTCCAGAACCAACCACCCTGCCAGTAGAAGGGGCCTTGAGCTATAGGTCTACCACCAACCCCTGCCAGTAGAGGGGGGCTGGAGCTACAGGTCTAGCACCAAAGTCCTGCCAGTAGAGGGGGGCTGGAGCTACAGGTCCAGCACCCTCCCCCTGCCAGTAAAGGTGGGGCTGTAACTACAGGCGGAGCACCAACCCCCCTGCCAGTAGAGGGGGGCTGTAGCTACAGGTCCAGCACCAACCCCCCTGCCAGTAGAGGGGGGTCTGGAGCTACAGGTCCAGCACCAACCCCCTGCTAGTAGAGGGGGGACTGGAGCTACAGGTCCTGCACCAACTCCCTGCCAGTAGAGGGGGGCTGTAGCTACAGGTCCAGCACCAACCCCCCTGCCAGTAGAGGGGAGCTGGAACTACAGGTTCAGCACCAACCCCATGCCAGTAGAGGTGGGGTTGAAGCTACCGGTCCAACATCAACTCCCTCCCAGTAGAGGGAAGCCTTGAGCTACAGGTCTAGCACCAAACCCCTGCCAGTAGAGGGGTGATTAGAGCTACAGGTCTAGCATCAACTCCCTGCCAGTAGAGGGGGGCTGAAGTTACAGGTCCTGCACCAAATCCCTGCCAGTAGAGGGGGGCAGGAGCGACAGGTCCAGCACCAACCCCCTGCCAGTAGAGTGGGGCTGGAGCTACAGGTCCAGCACCAACCCCCCTACCGGTAGAGGAATGGCTGGAGCTACAGGTCCAGCACCATCCCCCTGCCAGTAGAGGTGGGGCTGTAACTACAGGTCCAGCCCCAACCCCCTGCCAGTAGAGGGGGGCTGGAGCTACAGGTGGAGCACCAACCCCCCTGCCAGTAGAGGGGGGCTGTAGCTACAGGTCCAGCACCAACCCCCCTGCCAGTAGAGGGGGGTCTGGAGCTACAGGTCCAGCACCAACCCCCTGCTAGTAGAGGGGGGACTGGAGCTACAGGTCCTGCACCAACTCCCTGCCAGTAGAGGTGGGGTTGAAGCTACCGGTCCAACATCAACTCCCTGCCAGTAGAGGGAAGCCTTGAGCTACAGGTCTAGCACCAAACCCCTGCCAGTAGAGGGGTGATTAGAGCTACAGGTCTAGCATCAACTCCCTGCCAGTAGAGGGGGGCTGAAGTTACAGGTCCTGCACCAAATCCCTGCCAGTAGAGGTTATCTTGTGGTTATCTTGTGATGATTTTGGGGATTTTTAGTGTCCCCGCGGCCCGGTCCTCGACCAGGCCTCCACCCCCAGGAAGCAGTCCGTGACAGCTGACTAACACCCAGGTACCTATTTACTGCTAGGTAACAGGGGCATAGGGTGAAAGAAACTCTGCCCATTGTTTCTCGCCGGCGCCTGGGATCGAACCCAGGACCACAGGATCACAAGTCCAGCGTGCTGTCCGCTCGGCTCCCTTTTAGGGAGGGGTGATTAGAGCTACAGGTCCAGCACCAACCCCCTGCCAGTAGAAGGGGGGCTGTAGCTACAGGTCCAGCACCAACCCCCCTGCCAGTAGAGGGGGGGCTGGAGCTACAGGCCTAGCATCAACCCCCTGCCAGTAGAGGGGGGCTTGAGCTACTGGTCCCGCACCAACCCCCTGCCAGTAGAGAGGGGGCTGGAGCTACAGGTCCAGCACCAACCTCCTGCCAGCAGAGTGGGGGCTGGAGGTACAGGTACAGCACCAACCCCTAGCCAGTAGAGGGGGGCTGGAGCTACAGGTCCAGCACCAACCCCCTGCCAGTAGAAGGGGGCTGGAGCTACAGGTACAGCACCAATCCCTTGCCAGTAGAAGGGGCTGGAGCTACAGGTCCAACACCAAGCCTCTGCCAGTAGAGGGGGGCTGGAGCTACAGGTACAGCACCAACACCCTGCCAGTAGAGGGGGGGCTGGAGGTACAGGTACAGCACCAACCCCTAGCCAGTAGAGGGGGGCTGGAGCTACAGGTCCAGCACCAACCCCTTGCCAGTAGAAGGGGCTGGAGCTACAGGTCCAACACCAAGCCTCTGCCAGTAGTGGGGGGTTGGAGTTACAGGTCCAGCACCAACCCCCTGCTAGCAAATGGGGGCTGAAGCTACAGGTCCAGCGCCATCCCACCTGCCAGTAGAGGGGGGACAGGAGGCCTGGTCGACGACCGGGCTGCCGAGACGCTGAGCCCCGGAAGCACCTCAAGGTACAGGTCCATCACCAAACCCCTGTCATTAAATAGGGGCTGGAGCTACATGTCCAGCACCAATCCTCTGCCAATGGAGGTGGGTGGGAGCTACAGGTCCAGCACCAACCCCTCTGCCAGTAGAGGGGACTGGAGCTACAGGTTTAGAAGCAACCTACCTGCCAGTAGAGAAGGGGTGGCTAAAGCTACAGGTCTAGCACCAACTCACTGCCAGTAGAGGGGGGGCTGGAGCTACAGGCTCCGCACTAACCCCCAACCCCTGCCAGTAGAGGCGGGGGTGGGGGGTTGGAGCTAAAGATACAGCACCAACCCCCTGCCAGTAGAGGGAGGGCTGGAGCTACAGGTCCAGCACCAACCCCCTGCCAGTAAAGGGAGGTTTGGAGCTACAGGTCCAGCACCAACCCCCTGCCAGTAGATGGAGGCTGGAGCTTCAGGTCCAGCACCAACCCCCTGCCAGTAGAGGGGAAGGCACTGGAGCTGCAGGTCTAGCACCAACCCCTCTGCCAGTAGAGGGGACTGGAGCTACAGGTTTAGCACCAACTTACCTGCCAGTAGAGAAGGGGTGACTAAAGATACAGGTCTAGCACCTACACCCTGACATTAGAGGGGGGGCTGGAGCTACAGGTTCAGCATAATGGGACTGACTGACCACAAGTGAAAATGGGGCTGAAACTGTCCCCATGTAATAATGGGACTGACACTGACCACAGGTGATAATGGGGCTGACACTGACCACAGGTGATAATGGGGCTGACACTGACCACAGGTGATAATGGGGCTGACACTGACCACAGGTGATAATGGGGCTGACACTGAGCACAGGTGATAATGGGGCTGACACTGTCCACAGGTGATAATGGGGCTGACACTTACCACAGGTGATAATGGGGCTGACACTGTCCACAGGTGATAATGGGGCTGACACTGTCCACAGGTGATAATGGGGCTGTCACTGTCCACAGGTGATAATGGGGCTGACACTGATCACAGGTGATAATGGAGCTGACACTGTCCACAGGTGATAATGGAGCTGACACTGTCCACAGGTGATAATGGGGCTGACACTGATCACAGGTCATAATGGGGCTGACACTGATCACAGGTCATAATGGGGCTGACACTGACCACAGGTGATAATGGGGCTGACACTGATCACAGGTCATAATGGGGCTGACACTGACCACAGGTGATAATGGAGCTGACACTGTCCACAGGTGATAATGGGGCTGACACTGATCACAGGTCATAATGGGGCTGACACTGATCACAGGTGATAATGGGGCTGACACTGACCACAGGTGATAATGGGGCTGACACTGACTACAGGTCATAATGGGGCTGACACTAACCTGAGGTGTTAATGGGGCTGACACTGACCACAGGTGATAATGGGGGCTGACACTGACCACAGGTGATAATGGGGCTGACACTGACCACAGGTGATAATGGGGCTGATACTGACCACAGGTGATAATGGGGGCTGACACTGTCCACAGATTGAGGACCTCCGCAGGATGAGTGAACCCGTCAAGAGGCTGGTGGAGGCTGGCCGTGTGGTGGCCGTCAAGAGGCTGGTGGAGGCTGGCAGGGTGTTGGCCGTCCAGGAAGACCAATATGGCCGCCGCTCTGCCAGGATAACTCTACAAGACGGACAGCTGTACCTCCACCCACTCCTGCGGCAGCCCACGCCCGCCCACGCCCACACCCTCCAGGTTACTATATTACACCAACTAGTTTTACTGAGTTATGATAACTAATATGATAACATTTTGTTATACAGTTATTAGCATGATTTATTTCATTTTCTGCAGGAGAGTGAGGTTGTGGGCGTGCTGGACCCTTCCTGCACCCTGGCGTTCCTTGACCTCGGGTGGGCGGGGTCAACAAGAGGGCGGGTCACCATCCGGCTGACCCCTGACACTCCGCTGGCCAGACAGTTTGTGTTGTTGTGTACGGGCCAGCGGGGCCACACCTACCGCAACACTAAACTGTTGTGGCTGGGGTTCAGGGGCAACCCGGGGCAGTGTGTAGAGGGCGGAGATTACGAGAGTAATAATGGTTGGGGAGGAGCCCCACTGCTGCCTGACCTCATGGGGCAGTACCGGGAGTCAGGCCAGGCAGGAGCTGTGTGGGCCAGGTATGGGCTGGGGGGTCCCCAGAGTGCCCAGTTCGGCATCACCACCTGGGAGCACGAGGATGGTCGCTGTAGGTTAAATGTCTTCGGTGATGTGGTGAGCGGCCTGGATGTGGTGAAGGCAGCAGTCAACCACAGGCACATTAAAGAGGTGACTGTGGTGTTGTGCTGCCACTCTAGGTCACTGTACTACCACCATCACTACTGTGGTGTTGTGCTGCCACTCTAGTTCACTGTACCACCACCATCACTACTGTGGTGTTGTGCTGCCACTCTAGTTCACTGTACCACCACCATCACTACTGTGGTGTTGTGCTGCCACTCTAGGTCACTGTACTACCACCATCACTACTGTGGTGTTGTGCTGCCACTCTAGTTCACTGTACCACCACCATCACTACTGTGGTGTTGTGCTGCCACTCTAGGTCACTGTACTACCACCATCACTACTGTGGTGTTGTGCTGCCACTCTAGTTCACTGTACCACCACCATCACTACTGTGGTGTTGTGCTGCCACTCTAGTTCACTGTACCACCACCATCACTACTGTGGTGTTGAGCTGCCACTCTAGGTCACTGTACCATCACCATCACTACTGTGGTGTTGTGCTGCCACTCTAGTTCACTGTACCACCACCATCACTACTGTGGTGTTGTGCTGCCACTCTAGTTCACTGTACCATCACCATCACTACTGTGGTGTTGTGCTCCCGCTCTAGTTCACTGTACCACCACCATCACTACTGTGGTGTTGTACTGCCACTCTAGTTCACTGTACCACCACCATCACTACTGTGGTGTTGTGCTGCCACTCTAGTTCACTGTACCATCACTACTGTGGTGTTGTGCTGCCACTCTAGTTCACTGTACCATCACTACTGTGGTGTTGTGCTGCCACTCTAGTTCACTGTACCATCACCATCACTACTGTGGTGTTGTGCTGCCACTCTAGTTCACTGTACCATCACCATCACTACTGTGGTGTTGTGCTGCCACTCTAGTTCACTTTACCATCACCATCACTACTGTGGTGTTGTGCTGCCACTCTAGTTCACTGTACCACCACCATCACTCCTGCATCACCCTGAACTGCGTATTTTGATGACAATGCAGTTTAAGGACATGCCTTTATCACTATATCATCATAACTTAACTATCTTTGGTATTTATACTTTGGTATCATATACCTGACAATCACGGCTGTATCACCATCAATGCTATATCTACTCAGTACTGTAACCTATCATTTCTGTATCACTATAGCTTCACTATCACCTCTATATATCACCATCACCTCAGGGCCCACACTTGGGGTCATATACTGACCATGTTGAGTAACAAATTGTTGGTGTCACTATATGACAGCTGTTGTCACTGTTATATCACCAATAGCTCACTATCACATAACACTATCATTGCTACACCAACATCATTTCACTGTATCTGCATTATCACCTCACACTGATATTTCCTCCTTACATTCACTGATATATCACTATCATTGCTACAACACCAATACCTTACTGTCACTGCTATATCACCACCATACTATCACAGTTATATCACAATCACTCAGGTGTGTTGTGATATTACCATACTGGACCATGGTGTGTTGTGATATTACCATACTGGACCATGGTGTGTTGTGATATTACCATACTGGACCATGGTGTGTTGTGATATTACCATACTGGACCATGGTGTGTTGTGATATTACCATACTGGACCATGGTGTGTTGTGATATTAACATACTGGTCCATGGTGTGTTGTGATATTACCATACTGGACCATGGTGTGTTGTGATATTAACATACTGGTCCATGGTGTGTTGTGATATTACCATACTGGACCATGGTGTGTTGTGATATTAACATACTGGACCATGGTGTGTTGTGATATTACCATACTGGACCATGGTGTGTTGTGATATTACCATACTGGTCCATGGTGTGTTGTGATATTACCATACTGGACCATGGTGTGTTGTGATATTACCATACTGGACCATGGTGTGTTGTGATATTACCATACTGGTCCATGGTGTGATATTACCATACTGGACCATTTTGTGTTGTGATATTACCATACTGGTCCATGGTGTGTTGTGATATTACCATACTGATCCATGGTGTGTTGTGATATTACCATACTGGACCATGGTGTATTGTGATATTACCATACTGGTCCATGGTGTGATATCACCATACTGGTCCTTGGTGTGTTTTGATATTACCATACTGGACCATGGTGTGTTGTGATATTACCATACTGGACCATGGTGTGTTGTGATATTACCATACTGGTCCATGGTGTGTTGTGATATTACCATACTGGACCATGGTGTGTTGTGATATTACCATACTGGTCCATGGTGTGTTGTGATATTACCATACTGGTCCATGGTGTGTTGTGATATTACCATACTGGTCCATGGTGTGTTGTGATATTACCATACTGAACCATGGTGTGTTGTGATATTACCATACTGGTCCATGGTGTGTTGTGATATTACCATACTGGACCATGATGTGATATTACCATATTGGTCCATGGTGTGTTGTGATATTACCATACTGGTCCATGGTGTGTTGTGATATTACCATACTGGTCCATGGTGTGTTGTAATATTACCATATGGGTGTGAGGTGGTGTTATGACCACACATGCACCAGTATGATCATACTGTAGCTGGTGTATGATGTGCTCAAACTGTATAGTGATGTCTTGGCTGATTAGCCTAGTATCACGAATATTAATTTATGTAGTTATTCTTTTTTCGACAACACACTAGTATTAAATGTGTATTGTCAATGTATTCCACATATATCTATGTATATTATATATCTGTACCATAAGTCCTTGCCATGTATTTGTGGATATATATTAGAAGTCTAGTGAATAGCAGTAGCCTAATGTCATGTAGCTTGAAAAACATCCGTATATGCTTATATTATGGAATGCTACATAATGCTGTATAGGAAATATTATGTGAACTATGATGGAGAATGTATAAATTAAGGTCTCGGATGTATTACTGTCATGTATACTGTGTAATTTCCCTTTCAATATTGTTCATTACATTGTCCTCTAACATTAAATTATATTTTAGCACTGGGAGATTTATACCACATAAACATGGTTTTGATACACATATTTTATATATATACACTTTATATTGTATTCATGTATACTTATGTATAATGGCTGGCTGACAGACGTCTTGAAATCCTCCCTTAACCCCTCCTCCCCTCTCCCGCCAGTGTTACCATGTCTTGCCAATATGAATTCTTTGTTCACATATTTTTATATCGTTATATAATCTTTAATGTACTGAATTATTGATATGTAAGGTTGTGTATTATAGTCTTTATTTTGTTGATATATGAATTAGAAGTTCTTGATCGAGATATGTCTGTGTATGAGCTTGAGATATTTGAAAGAGAGGCGTCAGCTGACTCATAGAGGTGGATACAGTGTCGCTCCCGGCCAGCATCGCTCTGGGCGGTCACTCTTTTATTTTCTCAGTTGATTATTAATATTAACATCTTTATTGACAAAAATAATTACAATTTTGCCTAATCTGAGGATTTTGATAAAGTCTTATTAAAGTGAGGATAATGCTGGTATTCACTGTCATGCAGGACAGAGGGTCATACATAAGACAATAGGTCTAAACTGTAGGCTGAAGCACATATATATAATGGTTACAATCAATGTTTTAATGTATGGATATGTGAAAACAACTTTCTATTGTGCACTGCCACACAAGAGCAGGGATGGTTCATAAGTGATGCAGCTTAGAAGTGATATAAATAAAAATTGTTCTTCATTCTTTAAAATGGACAAGCAAATTTTGGATAAATTGTTAGGATGTCGTCCAGAACACCTGAGTCAATAAAATAGTTACACAGTTGGTGGTACAAGAGGCCAGGAGGTCTAAAGTCCTTTACGGTTTCACATTCAACAATATAGTGTTCTAGTGAATGCATTAAAGGTTTATCACAGAATTTACAATCTGAGTATTCTGGTAGTGGCTCAGCCTCACTAACCTGCCAGATGTGTCTATAGCCAAGGCGAATTCGCGCAATGACTACATCACACTGCCTGGTTCGGTTACTGTGATGACCATACAAATACCTATTATTACAAAACTTGTCATAACTTTTAATACTGCAGCTTTCAGGCCTCTGGGCATTTCTTAGTTCTTCTAAATCTGAAGTAATTTCTTTAATTTGTATGTTATTAATAATTGCATTACATAGTCCAAAGTCATAATCAATGTTTTCTTTTCTGCGAGCCTCATTGGCCAATCGATCTACAAAGTCATGTTTTCCAACTCCAACTTGGGATGGGATCCACACAAATTTTATACAAGAGTTATTATCATTGGCAAAAATTACATTCCATTTAATATTACAAGCTACTTCCAACATACATTGTGATGGGTTATTTAAGAACTGCAGAGCACTTTTAGAGTCACAGAAAATAACTCCACCACCATTGAGCTTAAGGTATTCAGTGGCTAGATAAATACCCAATAGCTCGGTCTGTGTCGTGCTTGCCCAGTTGTTCAATCTCTGTGTACTAGTCATGATCATTTCATTCCCTTTATATACTGCACATGCACAACCTGTTCTACCAGTGCCTAACTGCACAGAGCCCTCAGTAAAGGCATAGGATTCAGTCGGTTTGAGAATTTGAAGATGACTGTCAATAGCTTCTAATGTTATACATCTCCTAATGTCAGTGTTATACATTTGTTTTACACTGATGGGAGTATAATGCAGAGAGACCTCCACATCTTTCCAAGGGGGAATATAGTGAACAGTTTTATCAGGGTTAAGAGACACATTCAGTTTCTGAAGATTATAGGCATAACAACTGAGCCACACACTGTAGGGAGCTTTTTGCGGCGGATTGAGGGAACAGTCAGAATTGTTTAGAATGGATCTCAATTTAATTTGAATAGAGCTGAGGGGACCATTATTTTTCAAAGTTTTGGCGCAAAACATAGTACTAAGTAGAACTATTCTTTCGTAAATGGAAGGTAAGTTTAGTTCCTTTCTCATGTTAACAATTCTGACAGTTCTAGGACAACCCAGGATGATGCGCATGGCATCATTCTGTACTACATCTAGGCCTTGTAATTGTTTAGGAGAAAAAT